ATTAAAAGAGACAACTGTAATATCTTAAATGTTCACATTAGTTACTTCCAGACTTCAAAGATTAGAAAAATATTTAATTGCGATTTGGCGTGATAAAGGGCATTCTAGTATGCCAAAGTTTTGCCTTGTGGGATATTACATGAAATGCGATCCTATAAAAGCAATCAGCCATTAAAAGAAGAGAGGGGCGTTTAAAGAGATGACAAATTATTTCAAAGACCGAGATTTTATCCGTGTCAACCATTCATTCCATTATTGAATTGAAAAAAAAAATTAATGGATGAGGTCTACTTTCGAGCAATTCCTGTTGCAAGTCTGTTGAAATGGAAGCCATGTAACCTTCATATACGAATGTTTCCATAATATAACTTCAGAGCACTAGTCCAGTAGTGCTTTTTGGAGAATTTGAAAGTACAAGGTATTTATATTTAAAAGAAATATCATATTTAATTACAATCTGACATAAATAAGTTTGCAGCTCCGCCCACAAATGCCCACTAGATACGGTAAGGGATCGCTCCAGGCAACCACCAGTACAAATTGCCGCTCCTACGTCGTATTCCTTCTAGACAAATGCGTTCTTTCTCAATATCGCGCAGCTCAGAAACGTAAACTTATTTGCAAATATATTTGCAAATCTAAGGGAGTTCTGGAAATTACTGCAGGCGTAGTTCATCTCATAAAAATAATGGAACATGGTACATTTCTGAAAACTCAATATTAACGGTGTTACATAACCTCAAAATTTGTAATTTATAATATGCATTAACTTTTTTGTTAAGCACTTTTTTTAAATTTGGTACACATATTATTGATAACAAGCTGTACCTATGGAAAAAATGAAAACGTACCTGTTTGGGACAATATTATATTCAAATCCCAATAGGTTTATTGTTCTTAAGTTTATATTAACTTACTTAATGCAATTAAACGAGATTTAATAGATTACCTACTTCAGTTAATAATAGACAAATAACTCTTAAAGACACGATTAAAAAAATGCTTCAATAAATTTCAGTTTATTTTCTAATTCATTTTTCAAAAGTCGTAGAAATATCGGTATTATATCATAAGTCTCCTAAAATCGTCAAATGAATTTTAATATCGTAATTTTTTTAATTGCAAATTTGCAAAAGATTGTCATATTTAAATATTTGCTTACATTTGTTTATTAAGAATATTGTCCAAGAATTTTTTATTTTTAAACTGTAGAAAATAATATTTACTCCAGAACTGATTGTCAGAAAATAATTTTTTTTTGTTCATATATATACGTACTTAGAAATAAATTAAAAATAAAAGTACTACCTTCTAGTGACGAAATTTGAGTGAATATTGGACTAAAACTAAAGTAAGCAATTTCAAACAAAACGTTTCATATGAAAATGCATCCACAAGCTACCTGTTGTTAAGGTGTACGGTATTACAGTTTGAAGAAAAAATACTTTTTTGAAATGGCAACATATTACAGAAACAATTTAAGTTTTCATTTTTGATTTATTTATAAATATATACATGATGTTAAGCAATGTTCTTCGATACCAAAAATCTAGATATACAAGATAAGTAATTTCATAAACAAAATTAACTGATGATATTGTGGGAAATAACTTAGATATTGCTAGTAGTCCAGGAAATATAAAGTTGGACGCGACTTTTTTTTTCGGCAAGTTGAATTTATCACTACATAAGTTATATACAGAAGAAGTTTATTTATGACTTTTGAATTAAACATTTATAAACTGCGTTATTATTACCAGAAAGTTTTGGCATCGCATCCTCTCATTCCTTATCACTGTCTAATAACTCACACGAAATCTGGAATCGGTAAGTTGAATAGTTTACAAGTTATGGCCTTAGAAACAAATTAACTAATTATTATTAGTCTGGACGATCCCGAAGATCTTCCACAATCGCACTGATTTTTTTTTCAAGGTAGATTCCATAATAATACGTTAAAATCTATCATTTTTTTTGTTTTAATTTCAAATTTGCAACCTAGATTTTTTTTTATTTCTTAGCCTTAGTTGCAAACGACGCACGAGCGTGATATAACGAGCGTTCAAATAAAAACGTGGTCGAAGTTGACTCTGACACATTGGACGTAGGGAGTAGCTTATAGCGACCAACTTAATCTCATTTCTCAACGAGCTGTATAGTAGCTGTCACTTTCAATAACATTAATGACTATATAACTTTATTTTAAAGAATAATCGTGATAACAATAACAAACAATTAAAGGAGCTGCGGAAAGTGTCCCCTTCCTTGTTATAACAATAAATTAAAGCAGCTGCTGAAAGTGTCCCCCTCCTTGTTCCAAGCACTTTTCACACCTGTTCCTCAAAGAATTAAAGACATTTTCTAAGATGCTCGGGGTATTGTTAATTTCACGAATCTTGTCTATAAGTCGAGCCTGCAGATGGTTTAAATCAGGAATAGGCAGTTCAAAAATAGTGTTTTTAAGGTAAGGCCACAAAAAGAAATCACACGGCGTAATATCACATGACCTCGGTGGAAATTCATGTTCAGCATTGAGACTTATTAGTCGATTTTGGAAAACTTCCCTCAACATATTCATCGTCTCGCCTGCCGTATGTGCCCTTGCGCCATCTTGTTGAAAGTAAAAGTTTGTAATTTCGTTTTCTTCCAGCTGGTTAACAAAAGGAGCGATAATTTCTTCTCTATAC